TGACTGCCCAAATTGTCCTCTCTTCCGGATGGCGTGGATCGCCTCACCTCGCTTACACAACTACAAATTCAAGAATGTCCTACATTGAGTGAAAAATATCGACCCGAAGTGGGTGCTGGTTGGTCCAAGATAGCACACATCCAAGAGGTTCATATTGAAGATCAGAAGATTAGCAGGTATGGTTTGTGGTACTTATTAATTTCTTTATCTTTTACCTCTGCTAGTTAAAATTGGCCATATAAGTCCCTCTCTATGCATGTATTATGTATACAACATTTGCAAATTTTAATGATTCGTATTTTTAGTCACAGGTAAATTATGAAGTGGATGCTTTGGTGAGAATTCAGGAGCGGCAGGTGAGACTTCAATCCATCCATTTCCACAAGATTCATTCGAACTTAGCTTCTTTTTTTTTTTTTTGGAACATTGCTTGGAATTACTTTGAGTTGTATTTTTAACTCATTTCATTTAGTTTTGAACTATTGCATGCAGCTCTCATGATGGATGATTGAACCAAAGCCTGTCGGTATGGAGGCTAGCGCTAGCTGGAAGCTTTTTAGTTTTTACTTTGTTTGATTTAGAGTCTTTGTGCCAATATTTTGTTGGCTTCAATTAAGGACTTTATAGATTATTGGTGAAATTAGTTAATGTAATTTTTTTTAGAATTTAATTAACGTAATCTTAATTTGCATGAGAATTGATGTAATTAGCACTGCCAGTCTGTCAGATTTGCTCTTGATTTGAAATCAAACCATCATCACATTCACATATAAATATCTCTTGCTACATATTTGTGATTATTTTCTTCTATTTGTCATACACGAAAAAGGCATTCCATTATATTTAATTAATTCAAATTTAAAATCTCACTTTCCAAGCACAGGCATGTGTCATATTTGTAATAGTCAAAACATGTAACTCTAATTTGGCCAAAAAAAATTGTAACCCTTAAAAATATACTATAAAATGTATGGTTGGTGTTGGGGGCATATAGTGATTCAAAAGACATAATGGCCACTTTCTTCATCAGGGGCTTGGCGGATAGATAGGGACATTTCGAACATTTGCATTAACCTGATATGACACATTCAATTCAGTCACATCATCATTATCCCTCATTGACCCTATACCACTCATTTCTAAATATAAGCATCCAGTATTGTCATCACAAGTTCCATCTTGTTTTAAATCATTTATCTTTCTCTCCTTCCAACCTTCTTCATTTTGATTTTTAATTTGTATGTCAGAGTGCAAACGTGAAGAACACTCCCTACCTTTGTATTTGACCCCTCTCTTCTTACTTTTTATTCTTTTAGGAACATTTTCATATCGGAGCTTGATATAAATATTTGGTGCGCCATGTAGGAGATTTTCCATTCATTAGCCAAGTATAAAACAATGTCACTTGGAAAAAGAACTTTAGAAGAAGGAAGGATGACCTTTCTAGTCGGAATAGAGACACATAATAGCCAACACTTGGACCTACCTACCTTATAATAGGCTGGTCGGACCATAAAGCAATTTCAAGACTTTGACCGAGCAGATATAGGTTGTCAAAAAGATGTTACAGACTATAACTCTACCCTAGGCTTCGAAGGTTCTAGGCCTAGTTATTCCTAGCCAAGAAGTTGTGAAAAGGTAACCGAGCTATGAGGAGGTGAAAGCCTCATCAACCTCCAAAAAAGAAGAGCACGATACTTCTGCTCACTACTACCTAGTCACAATACAATACATGTCATTACCAAAAAATCAAAACAAACTAACCCAGAGCCTTAGCCAAACAAAAACCTAGAAGCCCAAATGCAAACTATGGAGAAAGAGCTAAAGGCGAAAGAGGTGGCTTTCAAAGACAAGCTCAAATTATTTAAGACCTCGTCCTTCATCGAAGAAATCGACATAACTATGACTTCAAAAGGGTTCACAATGTCAACCTTAGAAACTTACGATGGTGCTTTTAATTTTTTCGTTCATTTGAAAGTTTATAGAACTAACATGATGATGCAGGATGCGAATAAAGTTTTAATGTGTAAAGGTCATGCTATTACCTTTAAGGTCGCAGCTTGATCTTGGTTTAATAGTTTTAAAACCAAGGTTAATCACAGCATTTAAAAAGCTCAGCCATTACTTCCTATATCAATTTGTATACAGCCAAAAAATAAAAAAGATAACATTAAGCTTAAGGTCAATCCACCAAGACCATAATGAATCCTTGAAAAACTATGTCACGTGTAAACACCATTTTGATTATTATTATTATTATTATTATTATTATTATTATTATTATTATTATTTAATTTTTTTTCTTTCTTTTCTTTCTTTTCCTTTTTCTTCTTCTCTTTCTTTTCTTCCCGTCTCTGCGTTTGTCTTCTTCTTCCTTTCTTTTTCCTTCTTCTTCATCCTTATCCAATTCAAATCTAGTGCATTAAATGCACAATCCCTAAAGTTCAAAATCACTGCCGTTAGTCATCAACGGTCGACCGACAAGCCGCCAATCACGAACAACAGGCGTGATTTTTCAGTTAAAAAATGAGATTCGAATCCCAGAAGATCTGGAATTTGAATCCTAACAAGCTCTATAAATAGAGCTTGATATTTGCAAATGGGGCAAGAGGGCAGAACGAAAAAAAAATGGCCAAAAAAAAAAGAAGGGCAGCTTCTGTAAAAAAAAAAATTTTTTTTGCAAAAACACAAAAAAAACAGTCCCCTGGAACGGGGAACCCAGCGCCAGAAAGCCACCTAAAAAAAAGGAGAGAGATCAGTCGATTCTGTCCAAAAAAAATAAGATCGAAACTTTGAGCCTCGATCTACGTCGATTGAGGCTGTTTTCGGTAAAAAAGACACCGGATTTGAAAAGATCGCGTCAAAAAGAATTTTCAGAAGTATTTTCACCTTTTTCGGTGATTGAAAACCACCGGCAGCGACTGCCAGCGGTGACCCAGACGACGGTCGGCACGGTGGTCCGACGATCGACCGGCGGACCTCTCCTCCAGCCCTCTCTCTCTCTCCCTCTCTCCTTTTTTTTTTTGAAACAGAAGCCAAATGAACCAAAAAAAAATCTTCAGCTATATATAGTAAAGCAAAAACTCAAAACGACGTCATTTAGAGAAAGACCCAAAACGACACCGTTTCAGCCAAGGAGGATACGCCCGTCAACCGTGACTCGACCCGGGGTCCGTGGACCCGACCCGCGATCCGCTTCCTTCATCGACCTCTGACCGGACTAACGGGATTGGAACCGAACCGCTTAGATCGAACCGAACTGAAATCGAACCGCTTAGACCGAACCGAACGGGTACTGAACCGCCGGATCGAACCGTCCGACCGAACAGCGCGTTGACCGGACAGTTGACCGGTCCGGTTCAGGTAAAATTTTTTTTTATTTTTTATATATTATTTTATTAATATTTACGTATGTTAAAATATTTATATTTGTTAGATTAAATGATGAAATTGTGATTAAATTTTTTTTATGTAATTATGTTAATAAACTTTAAAACAAATAATATAAAGATAAGTTCAATAATAATACTAAAGTAATAAAAAATAAAAGAAAAGGAAATTTTTATCCGACGATGAGATTCAAAGGTATTTCGAGTAGTGATGCCTACGAAATCTCTAGGTGAGAAGATTTTTTTTAAAATACTACCAGCGTATTGGAGTATTTATAAAAAAAATTTTCAATACAATAAAGATTTTCTTTTTTTAAAATAATAAATAAAAATTGATTAATAAATTAAAAATATAAGTAATAAAAATATGAAGAAAAGAAATTTAATCCAATGATGGGATTCTAAAAGTATTCAGAGTAGAGATGCTTTAAGAAATCTCTAGGTGAGAAGATTTTTTGTAAAATATTATCAGCGTATTGGAATATTTATAGAAAATCTCCAATATAATTAAATTCCTTTTTCTTCAAAATTTTAATTAAAATTAAAAAATTAATAAAATAATTAATAAAATTTCTAACAAAGGAGAATAAAATGTGTGCATAAACATGGTAACATTTTGCATTACATGCATGATATTTTCTTACGAAAAATAAATTCGAGCCTCCGAGGATGAGATTCTAAGGTATTCCGAGAAGCGATGCCTAAGAAATCTTTAGATGAGAAAAAGTTCTTCTAATGTTACCAACGTACTGAAATATTTTAAGAATTATTTCAATAAAAAATTCTTTTATTGAAAGGAGTTAATCAATCATGGAAGCGCCACCAACAAATTGGTACGATTACCTGCTCTCTCTATTCCATTTGCATTCCCTTTGAGGATGAGTCATAAAATCAAAAAGATCAATGAAAACTAGATGCGATGGCTAGTGATTTCAAAAAATTTAATCTTGGACTTGAAGAGAAAGTTGAGAACCGACGTGTTATTCTCAGGGATACCCACTGCTTTGTGATACCTTCTAATGTGATAGGTCGCAATCGAGACAAAGAAAACATCATAGATCTTTTAGTCAAGCCAATCGATACTGAAAATATCCCCGTCATCCCTATAGTTGGAATCAGAGGTTTAGGGAAGACCACGCTTGCTCAACTTGTGTACAACGATGAAAGGATCACTAGGGTCTTTCCCTTGAAAATATGGTTGTGTGTGTCAGATGAGTTTCATCTTGCTAGGTTGCTTTGTGATGTTATTTACTCCATCACGGGGGAAAGATGTAATGGTTTACCAGTTAATGCATTGCAAACTCATTTGCGAATGCTTTTAAATGGTAAAACTTTTTTACTCGTTTTAGATGATGTATGAAACGAAGATCATGTAAAATGGATGGAACTGAGACATTTACTGATGACAATGGGTAACTTTCAACAAAGTAAAATCATTGTGACTACACGGAGTTCAAAAGTTGCTTCGATAGTGGGTACTATTGCTCCGTACAACTTGAAAGGTCTTAGTCACAAAGATTGTCTATCTTTGTTTGTAAAATGGGCATTTAGGGAAGGAGATGAGAAAGTATATCCAAACCTTATGAGAATTGGTGATGAAATTGTGAAAAAATGCAAAGGGGTTCCATTGGTGGTGAGAACTTTAGGGAGCTTGCTCTACTGAAAACTGAGCGACATGAATGGGAATTTATAAAAGATAACGACATATGGAAACTTGATCAAAATGAAAATGACATTCTACCTATGCTAAAATTGAGTTATAATCATTCGCCATCTCATTTGCAAAGGTGCCTAACTCGTTTGTCATTGTTTCCAAAGGATACTATTTATGATATTGATTATATCGTCCAATTCTGGATGGCCATTGGACTTACTGAAAGCCCCAAGCAAAACGAAGAGTGGGAAGATGTTGGATTACGATATTTCAAAGAATTATGGTCGAGGGGTTTTGTCCAAGATGTCGAGGTTGAATATACATATTACACATTTAAAATCCATGACCTAATACATGATCTCTTGTCAAATGTGTCTCAAGATGACTGTTTAACAATTTATCCTCATACAATAAATGCTATTGATCATATTCGACATCTGTCATTTTCGGGTGATAATCCATTGAGAGCTCCACAGTCATTTTTGAAGAATATAAAAGGTGTGCGGACATTAGTGATCCTACCTTCTTCAGGAAGAAATAGGATAATTGAGGAACATTTTGTAAATGCTTCCATCTTGAATTTCAAGTTCCTGCGGCTACTTGATCTCTCCTATTCATTTTTGGAAGTATTGCCCAATTCCGTTGGCACCTTGAAGCATTTAAGATATCTTGACTTATCCAGGTGTTATAGAATGAGCAAGCTTCCTCGTTCTATCTATAAGCTTCAAAGCTTGTTGACATTAAGATTGTTGGATATTGATTGCCAATTGCAACTGCCTCGCAATTTGCGAAGTTTGGTCAATCTCAGATTCCTAGATCTAACCGGGGATACTCATGGGAAATTAACACCCACACTCAGCATCCATATACACAAAATAACAAGCTCAAATAAAAAATAAAAACACACAAACATATTTGGTTCGACCCAAATCAAAATGATTTACTCAAAACTCAATCAACTAACAATAAATTTTTACAACTATGAAACTTTTAGAATGAGAAAAATCTCCAAAAACTCTTTATTTGAAATTTAACTCAAAACTTAATTATACCATTTTAATAACCTACTTAATTATTCTTTTGGTGTCTAACTCTCTAAGACTCTCAAACCAAAACTAAAACATTTTATTTATAAGGATGAAATTTTTTATAACTTTATTAAGCTCTCAATATGGGATATAAGATAAACTCAAAACTCTTAAAACTTTCGATGTGTAATTATAAGATTCAAAGCAAATCCAAAGAGATACTACGCATATAAGTGAGATTCGACCAGGATGTTGGAGTTCTCTTCAGTTCTTGTACTGCTACGGATGTGAGTTGCAGGAATATTTGTTTGAAGGATGCAACAGGGATGCAACACCTGACATCACTTCGAAGTTTGACTATAAAATGTTGCTCCAAACTAGTCTCACTACCACGAAGTTTGAAATTTCTAACCAAGCTGGAGTGTATTACTATAGTTGAATGACCAATAATCAATTTACGCATGGAACTGGAAGAAAGAGAAGACTGGGACCTTCACCTGTGCCTTTAGCAATTGGAAATACGAGGTGCACCAAAGTTGGAGGATCTACCGCGATTGCTTCTTGATAGATCTGCTAGCACTTTGCAACTTATAAAAATTAACCGCTGTCCCAACTTTGAGATACTACCGGAATGGCTACAAAATCTGTCATCACTTCAAAAACTTGAGATTCTTGACTGCCCAAAATTATCCTCTCTTCCGGATGGTTTGGATCGCCTCACCTTGCTTACCCAACTACAGATTCGAAAATTTCTTACGTTGAGTGAAAAATATCAACCCGAAGTGGGTGCTGGTTGGTCCAAGATAGCACACATCCAAGAGGTTCATATTTAAGATCAGAAGATTTACCAGGTATGGTTTTTGGTACTTATTAATTTCTTTATCTTTTATCTCTTCATTGCTAGTTAAAATTGACCATATAACTTCCTCTATACGCATGTATTATGCATACAACATTTGCAAATTTTAATGATTTGTACCTTTGGTCGCAGGTAAATTTTGAAGTCGATGCTTTGGTGAGAATAAAGGAGCGGCATGTGAGACTTCAATCCACCCATTTCCACAAGATTCATTCGAACTTAGCTTTTTTTTTTTTTTGGAACATTGCTTGGAATTACTTTGAGTTGTATTTTTAACTCATTTCATTTAGTTTTGAACTACTGCATGCAGCTCTCATGATGGATGATTGAACCAAAGCCTGTCGGTATGGAGGCTAGCGCTAGCTGGAAGCTTTTTAGTTTTTACTTTGTTTGATTTAGAGTCTTTGTGCCAATGTTTTGTTGGCTTCAATTAAGGACTTTATGGATTATGGACTTTATGGAGATATACTATAAAATGTATGGCTGCGTATAACCAGAAAAATGATTACTTGAAATGTGTACCATTTTATATGTTCCAACTAGCAAAGCAAGTTGAGAATAAGAATATGTCATCTATCTATTATCTATCATAAAATGAAACTCAACTAGAGATGCATAGTTGGGTGACACATGGGTGGAGATTCATCATTTATTCAACCTTATGTCAATACTGACTTTTTGCAAAAAAAAAAAAAAATCTTGGAAGGAGAAAAAAAAAAAACAGAAAGATTGAGTCTGAAAAAGAATGAACGGTGGAAAAACAAAGAAAACAACAATCAAAATTTACTATAACTCAAATCAATCCAAAAATTCACGCATGCAGACATCACAACCTTTTCCAACACCTATAACAAGCAAATCACATTTAAAGAAAAAAAGGGGGAAAAAAAAGAGAACATCAGAAAAACAAATTGAGAAAAAAAATTGTTTAGGTTGTTTTAAAGTTACAATGCCCACTCGTACCTCTTTTGAATGGTTAGGTTCTGTTTTATATATAGCTAGCTGTTTCCTTCATTTTTCCTTTCCTTTGAAATGGGCATGGCAGACAAACCAAAAATGTCGTTTTCATTAAATAAAATGATAGAGTTATTACACTATCATCACTCTGTGGTCCATCTAAATCTAAGTCTAATACCATCATTGTGTTATTGCACCTTTCATTAGATGATGTACCTGCATTACTTGATGTAATCATCCTTGGAATTGACCCATTAATTGTGAGTGTTCCCATATTTTTGTAATTAGCATAAGGGAGGATGATAACTGGTTAAATCAAGGTTAATTTTTATTTAATTTAATTTCAATTCAATTTTTTTAATTTTTACACTTAATTTTAATTTTATTTGACATCAAAATATTATTTTATTCAATTCGATTAATATATTTATAAATTGCAACCAATTTGTTTCGATTCAAAATTAATATAATAATTTAATTTATTATAATATTCATAAAATATTATTTCTAAATATAAATTATATCTTAGTTATATATAATATAAAATTTTTATTAAATCAATACCTTAAATTAAAATATTAAATAATTATTTTATTAATATAATATATATAACATAAAATTAAATAAATAATAAAAATATTTTTATATACATGCATCTAGTGGAGTTGGAACAACTTAAAATCCAACTTCAACTCAAACCCAATTTAAAGAAAAAAAACAGAAAAAGGAAATCCAATCCACTTTCGATCTGATTTTTTATTTAAAAAAATTTATTTTGTTTAAAATTAATTAAAATCTCTAAGATATAAATTATTTTATCACCTAAATATAATTTTATAAAATTTCTCGATGTTAAAGTATAAGACTTATATCTTTTTATACACTCTGCTTCAGCTGTTTGTCGTGTTCTGATTCATTGATTAAACGATTATCTGATTCAAATATCTCCATTTCGCATAAATTCATCCATTATTGTCTATTGAGGAGGCCCATAAAAGGTGACTATAAGTTAAATCGCGATTTGGATTCAAAAGTATCCCTAGCGTAAATACACTTGGCATGAAAAATTGTGCAAATGCATTGAACACGCAATTGAATGTCCATCACGAAATCAACTTTTACTCATTGAATTTTTTGGTTTTAGTGGATGAACGCTCGATTGCTTTTTTTTTTTTTTACCTTTTTAATTGTATTGAAGAGACAAAAAAATATTTTTATAATTTAACCTTTTTATTTTAATTTTTTATTTAATATAATAAAAATATTATTTGATAAATTATTATTTTTATTAATTATCAATTATTTATTAATAAATTATTATTTGACATAAATTATTTGAATAAATTTATAATTATTTATTAATTTTATAAATTTTAAAATTTTAAAATTTTTTATTAAATATAATTTTTAATTTAATATCCTATATGATTTTTTATTCTCACTATAACTTAATTTATATTTAATATTTTTGTTTTATTCAAACACATATCTCACAACTATTTTTACTCTTATTATTATTATAATTATTTTTACTTTTATTAATATTTTTAATTTAATCAAAATCATCCTTATCATTCATTCAAATTAACTTTAACACGAAGAAGTAGAATAGTAATCAAAATCCTCTTATTAACTTAGCGTGAAGGAGGAAGACTTCGTCGAAATTTTTTTTTTTTTTTAAATTGATTAGTTCCACAATATTAAGAAATTTGATAGAGAGAAATCTTATTAACTTGTTGGGGAGTGGATGGACCGTCAACGTCTAGTCGTTTGTGTACAGTTTTCGCCAAATGAATAAATTATTCGAAAATATATACATCTTGGAAAGCTATATATGAAGATCAATTGGCTGGCTCAAGGGCAAAGTCAATGAACTGCTCAGAGAAAAAGAGAGCGTTGACCTGTCTTTTAACTTAATACCCTTCGTCTTTTCTTTGATTTCAGAGTTCAGATATGGATGAATAATTCTTATTCGAGATTGCAGAAAGTGTTTTGGAGAAGATAACTTCCCTTGCTATTGAGGAAGTTCGCTTGGCATGGTTTGTCGAAAGCCATCAGGAAAAGCTTCGGGAGACCTTGACCTTGTCAATGGAAAAGACAATATACACGTGCATGTGCAGCCGGCTAGCTTTTGTCAAGGAATTTCCTTTTTTTCATGCCTTGTGCTAGGTTTTTTTTTCAGTTCAATAGTTCCAGCTTTGACATTGATAGCTGAAAAGTGAGCAGATGTGTTCCATTTGCCACCCATGACTTTCGGCTATGAACTTTTCCATCACATGGTGTAACCGTTGTTGCTCCACATTAGCACAAGCACACAAAATTTGTCCCCATACTCAAACGTGAACATGCATAATTTTGGAAAGGTAAATGTAGCTTCCGGTTATTTCCATGCATGAATGAAAGCCACTATATCCATCATATCGAACACTGTGAACTTAGTCATAGGACTTTTCCGGTTACTGCCACTCATCAAAACATTAAGAATATTGTTGCCACTTATAATCTATTATTTCGAACAAAATTAAATGTTTATATTCACTTAATATCTCTCTTGATTGGTTAAGTTCTGTTTTATTGTTGTTTCTTTGTATTTTTTTTAAATTTTGTTGGATATGAAGTGACAAACAAAACAATATATCATAATAAATTTACAACAATAAATAATAATTAATAATTAATAATGTAGGAAAATAAAATACATCAAAATTTATTTAAAAACTCTTCTAATATAGAAAAAACTTTTATTATCAAATAATAAATATATAAAATTATTTTTAGTTAAACTAAAATTAATCAACAACTAAAAAAATAATTTAAAAAATTTCACTAAATAAATGACTCAATAAATATATTTTAAATTTATTTGTAAAAAATTTTAAATTTGATTTTTACTGTTTAAAATATAAAATACAAAATCATAACTTACTCATAAAATTTTAATTAAATTAAATCAGACAACTCTCTTTTTTTTATTTTTTTTAATTTTTTTTCTTTTTTTTTCTCGATTTCAGCGTCACTCCACTTTTACACCTAAACAGCTCCCCTTCTTTATTATTTAAATCCTCTCAAAGGTAAGATGGAATATATGGGGAAGTGGATGAATTAAAGCATGTATATCAAATGAAATCTTACATGAAGATTCCTCCTCTTTGGCTCTTTGCCCAGCAGCTAATACTATCTCAACGGGAAGAGGAGCAAATGATGACCAATATTCATGTTTTGCCCCAGCTATCTCTGCCTGAATACCTGCAAAAGGTCATGTCCTTGAGAAATCTAAGCAGCTTCATACAAAATGTACAAAGACAGAATTATGGGTTTGCACATTAAAGAAACTGACTGCAGTTGCAACTTTAATTACTCTCAGGATCACCTAACCATTTATATTGGAACGCAGTGCTTTAACTTTTGTGGTGATTATAGAGGCAACTGTTTATCCAATACAGCAGCATCAACTCAAAAACAATCAGGAATTTCACGTATTTAAATATCAACACTTTACCATGTTCCACACATAAAATCCAATAACGAGCAAGCCAGCATCTCTTTAAAACAACCTCTTCCTAAGATGAAAACTGCAGATTACGTAACTATGACATTAAGGAGTAAACTGACAAAATGATTTCTGCAAGATTAGAAATAAAGTCAACCATCTCTTCCTCAGTCAGCATCATCCTTTGAGTTACTGTTTGCAGAGATTTCATTTCACACTCCGCTTCATGGAGCTTATCTAAGGCAGATGTTGCTTCATCTCTGGCGATCTAGCTCACAATTTAAGAACAGAGAAAATTAAGTTAAGCAAGAACATTTCCCCCTTTTAAGAATGGTAACATTCAAAAGAAAAAGCCAGAGCATACAACATAAAATTTCAAAATACCTCAGCCTCTGTCCGAAGAGAAGCAATCTGTTCGGGTATACCACCATGAGTTTGCGTTGCAGTTCTTAAAGCAGCCTGCAAGAAGAACAATGTCATATGCTACTCAGCTGCAGTTCATAAACCATGTCCAGACTAAAATGTAAAAGTAAAAGAATTAAAGTAGCACAATGATTTTTGCAAAAAGAAGTCAGTTATAAGCAACAAAGCAGGACTAGCTAGATCTACAAAAGCAATGAAACTATTGAAGGTGTTAAGAATGAATAAAGCATGACCTCTGGCAATCCTTCCTACAGATCTAAAGCAAACACCAACTTCTGTGCTTAGTGTCTATTGACTGTTGAGACGGCATTTATTTTTACATATCAGATTCTCATTTTAAAATTTATGCTAAAAATTTCATGCACATGCCTGCTTCAGGTGTATATAATAAACCTCTCTATGCATGAAATCAGTACCATCTCACAAAGAGAGATGCATAAAAAGATGCAGAAATAAGCATAAATAAACTCAGTAAACACACACTTACAAGACAAAAGAATGTCTTTTAAGGCTCATAGTTATCGAGTATTATGTAATTTTCCATGCATAATGAGACTGATAACACATGCAGATTAGTTTGAGACAAGAAAAGAGTGGCACTCTTTAGAAGTACAAACCTCCCTTTCCTGCAGGGCTGCCTCCTTTCTGAAGAGGAAGACAAATAGCGCATAAGAAAAAGGAAAAATAAATCACAATATAACATTAAATTCTTGTAAGCCATGAAACTTGCCTGCTTAAAAGACGTGCTTCTAAAGTTACACCTTCTCCAAGATTAGCAATCTATATTGAACATGTTATGAATCAAGTAAACAAATACATAATTTTGCTTGCTGGAGCGGTATAAAGTTCATTTACATTTCTCTTGTTTAGTTTTCTTTAAACTGAGAAAAGTTCACCTGTTTCTCAAGCTGCTGAGCTCTTGCTTCTGCTTCCTCACACCTCTCCTCTGCAAGTTGAAGCTGGGAAGGCAAATATCATGCAAAAATAACAGTATAAGACTATTATTAACATTTTCCGTAGGCCAAAGCACTTAGTTGGCTAACCTAATTACATCAGAGTTTTTGGGAGAAAATGGTGTTGCAAAAGTTATATCCAAATGCCAGTATTCAGATAGATTATGCCCGTTCATTTGAAGATAACTGTTGCAACAATTTAGGATATTGGCTCAGTGCTTGAAGATGATGGAGAGCCAAATTGATGTGCATGAATACAATATCATTTTCCAAATAAAACTTTTCATACAACTTTACTAGATACAACAATAGAACAAGTTACATAACAAAGAAGAAAAAAGTTGCTGGAATCACCTTTTCAATTAAACTTTCATTTTCATCCTGTAGCATATCAAGCTGCCATGAAATTCACACCACATTACTGGAAGATAAAAATAAACATTTTCCTAAGCTTCTTCATGTGTTTGATCACATAGACTGAAAATTGAAGTGTTCAGACTTGAACAAATTAATTAGGTTTTTGAAAAAGAAGATATGATGACCTATACACCTGCTTTCAAATAATTCCTTAGAAACAAAAAAGAAAAAAATAAAATTGCAACTAATATATGCTAGAAGGAAACACATATTTAGCTTAACGTGACTGTACCTCATCTTGTAAAGCAGAAGTAGACTGCTGTCTTCCCCTATCTTTCAAACTGCTCATACTCCCAAAATCTGAAGACAATCTGCTTACACTATAAATTTTAGAGCACTATAGATGAAACAAAGAAAGAACCTAAACCAGTGCAATGGGCATTTTACATGATCCCAGGATCTTGAGACCCTAACATTATTAATTGAGAAAAACGCATGACGGTGATGGGCTTAAATACTTCCAGGGGAGGGCATTATGCATTCTTGAATACTGGAAGAGCAGCAACAAAGCCTTTCTTACTGTAGAGATGAAAACATAAGGACCTGAATTACTCATATATATCTATTATCTTTGACTATGTTATATAAGAATGTTCTTAATGTTGTTTAAATTTATGACACTCAATCGCTTCTAAATCACGAATCAGAGAAGTTGCTCCATTTGATGGCAGATTTCCTCATTCTCTTTCTAATATATCTAAAACTTCAAAGACCAAGTTAAAAGGGAAAATTCACATTATATGTATAAAACTAACAAAAAAAATATAAGGGTGACGAAAGAAAAAATTGGAGGGGATTACGATATGGATGATAACTTCATCCTTCAAACTGAAATCACACCAGCTTAGAGCTATAATATACTGTTTATCTCTCCGATTATCAGTTGAAGCCTCTGTTGAACTAACAGATGAGGTTGGCTTCAGTGGCATAGGCACTGTATGAGGTATCACAGGAACTGCCTTGACTCCTAAATGTTGGCGACCTGATGCTGTGGAACGAGCAGATAAAGGTTGCTCTATGGATCTGGTTAATGGACATAACCGGCCAGCAGTTGGCTGTTCTGCAGAACCCTGCAGAGATGGTTGTCCGCCTGAAATGGAATAAGGAGACATGGGTTGCTCCACAGAGCTGATAGAGTGAGATGGTTGGCCACTTGAATAAGATGATAATGGTTGCTCCATATTGTTGACAGATAGAGAGGTTTGACTGCCTGGTGTGGAACGTGTAGATGGTGGTTGATCCTGATTGATATGAACTGACTAATAGCAAATTTAAAGTTACAAGTAAGAATTACATTCATAAGTAATATAAGCATTAAACAAACAAAAAATTTAGATAACTGAGCATACTCAGTTAACAGACAAATTACCGAGGGAGAAGATGAACGTATTGCTTTTCCACAAGCAAGTCCAATGGTTGCTGTGCCACTCGCTGAACTATTATTATTTGCAAGGTCATCCACATCATTGTCCTCATCACCTGGTTGCTGTGCTACTTGTTGCACAGGCCTTTGAGCCATAGTTTTGGCCTGTGTTTACGAATGGAAGTCCATATAAGAATGCATTTCTCAGTAGCATAAAACTCCAGCATTAACCGTAAATCTTTTCCTTAAACTCACATCATAACTTGTCTGCTCAAGCTCATGCTTCTTCTCTCACATTAGCATGACAAGCAAGAAATAGCTAAAACAAATTCATAATAGGAAATCACATAATTACCATAGAAGGGCGTGACTGCATTGCCCTACCACGAGCAATACCAATGCTTGCTCTGCCACTAACTAAAAGGTCATCCTCATGATCGCCCTTATCAGATGCTTTCCGTGTAGTAACTTGTGGCAGCCGCTTCTGAGTTATGTTTTTAGTCTGCAAAATTATACAGTGCTAGTCCACTGAGAACATATTTGTTGGTAGCATCAGGCTTTTGCATGTAATGTGTAAGTCACAGAAGTTACAAACTAACGATTAGACATCTATGAATTATCTTATTCAACAAATTCCTTTGCAACTTAATATTAAACTTTCTTCCCTAAACACATTTCAAGCAGCAACCCAATTATAAACAACAATATGTTCAAATCACCAAATTTGTACTGATAAGAAAATCAAATAAGTAATTTTGCACGCAAGACCCATATGGTTACCAAACAACTAGTCAACTGAATAATACACTTCTCTTTGTAATAAGTAATAATGCATTAAGGAATATTCGGAGTCCTTAAAGACTAAATCAGTCAATTACTGATTTCCAGTGCTCAAGCATGCATGAACAGGTCACTCAATTATTAGCTTACGACTTATCTTGTTCACACTCTCACGTTCCATTTCATACCGTGTTGACAAAATGTTACATTTATCAGAGACAGCTCAAGCAAAGCTTATAAAAACACAGTACTTTCATAGCTCCAAAAGTTAAAATGACAAAAAGATAAATTTAAAATTTTAAGTCTGAAACTTAAACAACTTGAGCAATTTTAGATAAAACCTATTATATGTCCAGAGAATTTAAAATTTGTTATAAATGTAGCTCAAACTAAGAATTTAACTTGTCTAATTGCATTCATTTTCTTTCCCTGAGGCTCACTAGACAAACATGTCTATCTAAATCAGATAGTCATATAATTACCGCAGGAGAGCGTGACTGCATAGCCCTTCCACCTGCGAGCCCTATGCTTGAGGTACCACTCACTAAAAGGTCATCATCATCATTGTCCTCATCAGATGGTTGTTGTGGTGCTAGCCTTTGAGCTATGTTTTTGTTCTGGGTTTTACAAGATAAGTTGCAGTAAGAACATATTTATTTGCAATGTAAAACCAGCTAGCATGCTAACATGAACAAGCTTTAGAGCAGCATAAGAGAGTTTGAAATACATTACAATGCATGACAAATTGATAATACAGTTAATAGTGGTCAAAAAAATCTTTTATAGAGAAGTGTTATTTTAACTTGTCAAATGGAATTTATTGAACTACAACAAGTTTGTGCGTCTCACTTTGACACACATGCAGCTGGTATAGCTAAAACCAAATTTGTGTTAGATAATTACTGCAGGAGACTGTGACCGCATTGCCCTTCCACCAGCGAGACCTATGCTAGCTGTGCCACTGACTAAAAGTCCATCCTCGTCAGCTGGTTGTTGTGTCATCACTACTGGAGCTCGCCTTTGAGGCATGTTTTTGTGCTGGATTTTACAATGCAAGTCCAAGTAAGAATAAATTGACTTGCAATGTCATAAGTCATAACTCTACCACATGCAACCATGAACAAATTTAGAGTTTAGAGCAGCATAAGAGAATTTAATACTTAATTGAGTCATGATCATAGCTAAGGAAAGTGTCTTTTAACTTGCCTAATTCAACTCGCTCTTTTTTCTCTTACCTCTCACTTAACTAACATAGCATAGGTCAACCTAAACCAAATTCCTAGTATTAGATAATTCGATATAATTACCATAGGAGAGCGTGACTGCATTGCTCTTCCACCACCAAGCCCTATACTTGGCGTGCCAGTCACTAAAATGTCATCCTCATCATTGTCCTCATCAGCTAGTTGTTGTGTCATTGCCTGTGGAACTCGCTTTGAGCCATGTTTTTGTTCTGGATTTTACAAAGTTAAACCCAGCTGGTAAGAAGTAAGAATTATTTATTTCCAATGCCAAGCTCTTGCATAGCAAAATAGTGTTGAAAATGCCCATTAAAGAAAAGTGCCTATGACAGAACTGATAATGGGGTAAGTTTAAAAAAAACATATAAAGATATTTTAATCCATTGTTTCACTTCTTAAACAGTTCATTATTCATACTGATATGAAGCTTTAATCTCAAAATTAATGTAAAAATTGTCAAAACCATCATGTTTCGAACACATACTTGTATCCGACACCCTACCCCTGAGATCACGTAACATTAAATTACCATAGGAGAACGAGCACGAGTTGCTCTTCCACCAGCGAGTCCAATGCCTCCCGTGCCATTAATGTTATTATAATCAAGCTGGTCATCATCATCACCCTCCACGTTTGCTGGTGTGCCATAACAGCCGCCAGCCTTTGCGCCGCCGCTTTCGTTTGCGCTTTCTTCATGTTCCCCACGCTTGCGTAGCTTGATCCCGACCGTCCGTGCGGTGTATCGGCGACGATGATGTCAGTGGTGATGCCGGCGTCCCTGGCGTCTCCGAGTCCACCGTGGTCTGATGTCTCTCGTATGCTAACTTCCTCCTATTCATATTGACTGCAATAAACAAATTGAAAGCAAAAAGAAAAAGAAAGATAAATCAATCCATATTAAAAGAAACAATACAAAAAACTTAAGAGTTGAACTTAAAACTTACCAGGTTGATCAAAGAGAAGACTCTGTTTTTCAGTAAAAGGTAAGAAAAACAAGCATTGTTCCGTGACACAAAATGGAAAAGGATGAGAATGGTGATTAGTTTTCCACGAAAATGTGGGAAATTGGAGGTTTACGGGGACGCATTTGAAGTGAAAAATGGTAAACCAAAGGATCCGATAATTAAGGCAAGAAAAGAGGAAGTTTTAACGGTCCATTATTTTTTCTTTTTCTAGAACTGAAAGATTTTCTTTTACATGTCAAATACGTCCCTGTGGGGTGAATGTCTAATTTCATTATATTGAGGAAATATTTTGCAATTACCTAAAGTAGTAGTGTTATACGCTTGTACTGACTCGTTCAATAAACACTTTTTTAAACAATATAACAATTGAAAGTGCATTTTTTTTCATTTAACAACTTTTTTTTCATATTTGATACTCCTTCTGTTTCATATTTTATGTTCTTATTTGTTTTTTGGAATTAAAAAAAAGAGAGATTTAACATGCATTATTAACTTTAATTTTTGTAAAATATATAATTCCTAGTTTTTAATATCAAAAAATAAAAAATTATGAAAAAAAAAGTTTGGAATATAAAAAAATTAAGAATTTTAGGTTTTTAAAAAAATATATAATTTTGAAAAAAAAATGAGATTGAAAGAGTAATGACAATACAATAGAATTCTTTTAATTCTTCTATAAAAAAAATGAAATTCTTATAAAACCTTTTGTAGTGGTAGAAATGTTAAGTAAAAATCATTTGTCTTAGGCTATGTTTTCCATGCACTACCATGTTAAATTCAAATGGTAACAAAACAGAATTTTTTACTCAATTTTTTTATTAATGTTTATTTGGATGACCAATAGAAAACGATTCCTACCACATCATCATTAGAAACCGGATTGCGACAATGCA